AGAAGGAAAGAACGAAAGAAGGAAAGAACGAAAGAAGGAAAGAACGAGTGGTGGTAATGTTTGTAAAGGAGAGATAGGAATGCAAAATAGGTGTAAGGTGATAGGGAAAAATGGGACCACTTTCCCACTCCTATTTCCTCTATTTTCATCATTGATCTCTTTTTCAGAAAAAGTGAATTCCCTCTCCTTTGACCCCATTATACTTCTCTTTTCTGGTCTTCCAGACCAGTGTACAAATTCATTTCAGCAGCATGACCCTCAAGGTTTCCTCAGGTTTTAACTAGATTGAAACACTACCTTGACAACCTGAATTGTGAGAATTGTCTATCACAAGCATTCTGGCAGTCTCAGCTGCATTATGAACTGAAACGGTAAACCACATGGGCTGAATGGCTTAAACTTGACCTCAACTTTCAATATTCCCATGACTTCGGATTCCTTATCAGAGTTCCTGCCAATACAGTGTGAAGCTGGAGGAACACAGCAGGCCAGGCAGCTTCAGAGGAGCAAGAAAGCTGACATTTCGGGTTGGGAATCTTCTTCAGAAATGGGGAGGGGGAAGGAAGCTGGAAATAAATAGAGGAGGGGTGGGGCTGGGGAAGGTAGGTGGGATGGTGAAAGGTGAATGCAGGTAGGGAGTAGTGGGGATTGGTCAGTGGGATGGGTGGGACGCATAGGTGGGAGAGAAGATGGACAGGTTGTGCAAGGTCAAGGAGGCAGGGATGAGAGAGAGGGTTGGACATGGGATGAGGCGAGGTGGGGTGGGGGGAGGGGAAGTGAGGTGAGGAGATTTTCAAACTGGTGAATTCTACGTTTAAGCCATTGGGCTGTAGGCTCCCGAGGCGGAATATGAAGTGCTGTTCCTCCAGTTTGTGGGAGGTGTCATTGTGGCGCTGGAGGTGGTCCAGGACGGACATGTCATCCAGGGAGTGGGAGGGGGAGTTAAAATGGTTGGCGACTGGAAGGTGTTGTCGTTTGTTGTGTAGAGTGCAGATGGTCTACGAAACGATCTCAGAGTCTATGCTTGGTCCCACCGATGCAGAGGAGGCCATATCGGGAGCAGTGGATACAGTAGACCAAGTTGGAGGATGTACAGGTGAACCCCTATCGAATAGGAAAGGTTTGTTTTGGGCCTTGAATGGAGGTGAAGGGGGAGGTGTAGGAGTAGGTGTAGCACTTCCTGCGGTTGCAGGGAAAGGTGCCGGGGGTGGTGGGGTTGGTGAGGAGTGTGGAGTGGACGACGGAGCCAGTGAGGGTAGGAATAGGAGGATGGAGCAGGCAAATGCGTGGTTGAGGAGCAGGTGCTGGGGAGAAGGATTCACATTTTTGGATCATTGGAATGTCTTCCAGGATAGAAGTGACCTGTATAAGGATGAAATCCACCTGAATCGGAAAGGGACTAATATACTGGCGAAGAGATTTGCTAGAGCTGCTTGGAAGGATTTAAACTAGTAAGGGGTTGGGGTTGGGACTCAGGGAAATACTGAGGAAAGACAGGAGACGGAGACTGGTGCAATTGGGAAAAGGAGTATATCAGTCAGGGCAGGCAGGAACAAAGCAGAGAATGAGGTAGGACTGATAAATTAAATGGCATTTATTTCAATGCAAGAGGCCTTACAGGTAAGGCAGATGAACTTAGGGCATGAGTGGGATCATGGGACTGGAGTATCATAGCAACTGCAGAGACGTGGCTCAGGGATGGACAGGTCTGGCAGCATAATGTTCCAGGGTATAGCTGCTATAGGAAGCATCGGGGGGTGAGGGGTGGGGGGGTGCAAGAGAGGAGGCGGAGTGTCATTTTTGACAAGGGAAGACATTATGGCTGTACTTAGGGAGGATATTTCTGGGAAAACATTCAGGCAAGTTATTTTAGTGGAACTGAGAAATAAGAAAGGGATGATTACCTTAGAGGGGTAGTACTATAGATCCCCAATAGTCAGCAGAAAACTGAGAAAAAAAAACTTGTAAGGAGATCTCAGTTATCTGTAAGAATAATAGGGTGGTTATGGGTAGGGAACTTTAACTTTCCAAAGATAGACTGGGACTGTCACTGTAATAGTGTTAAAGGCTTAAATGGAGAGGAATTTGTTAAAGTGTGTATAAGAAAATGTTCTGGTTCAGTAGGTGAATGTATCTACTAGAGAAGGTGCAAAATGTGACCTACTCTTGGGAAATAAGGCAGAACAGGTGACTGAGGTGTCAGTGGGGGAGCACTTCAGGGCCAGTGACCATAATTCTATTAGTTTAAAATAGTGATGGAAAAGGATAGGCCGGATCTAAAAGTTAAAGTTCTAAATTGGAACAAGGCCAATTTTGATGGTATTAGGCAAGAACATTCAAAAGTTGATTGGGGTCAGATGTTTGTAGGTAAAGGGACAGCTAGAAAATGGGAAGACTTCAAAAATGAGATAGAGTGTCCAGGGACAGTAAGTTTCTCTTAGGGTGAAGGGCAAGGCTGGTAGGTGTAGGAAATGCTGGATGACTACAGAAATTGAGGTTTTGGTCAAGAAAATGAAGCAAGCATATTTCAGGTACAGACAGCAGGGATCTAGGGAATCCCTAGAGGAGTATAAGGGCAGCAGGAGTAAACTTAACAGGGAAGTCAGGAGGGCAAAAAGTGACATGAGATAGCTTTGGCAAATAGGATTAAAGAGAATCCAAAGTGGTTTTATAAATACATTTAGGACGAAAGGGTAACCAGGGAGAGAATAGGGCCCCTCAAAAATCAGCAAGGCCACCTATGTGTGGAACCGCAGCAGATGGGAGGAGATACCAAATGAGTATTTTGCATCAGTATTTACTGTGGAGAAGGATATGGTAGCTACAGAATTTGGGGAAATAGATGGCAACATCTTGAAAAATGTCCATACTACAGAGGTGGTGGTGCTGGATGGCTTAAAATGTAAAGGTGGATAACTCCCTGGGACCTGATCAGGTGTACCCTAGAACTCTATGGGAAGCGAGGAAAAGTGATTGTTGAGCCCCTTGCTGAGATATTTGTATCATCGATTGCCACAGATGAGGTGCTGGAAGACTGGAGGTTGGCTAACATGGTGCCACTATTTAAGAAAGGTGGTAAGGAAAAGCCAAGGAACTATAAACTAGTGTGCCTGACATTGGTGGCGGGCAAGTTGTTCGAGGGAATCCTGTGGGACAGGATTTACACGTAGTTGGAAAGGCAAGAGCTGATTAGGGATAGTCAACATGGCTTTGTGTGTGGGAAACTGTGTTTCACAAACTTGATTGAGTTCTTTGAAGAAGTAATGATGAGGATTGATGAGGGCAGAGTAGTGGATACTGTCTAGATGGACTTCAGTAAGGCATTCGACAAGGTTTCTTGTAGTAGACTGGTTAGCAATGTTAGACCACATGGAATACAGGAAGAACTAGTCACTTGGATACAGAATTGGCTCGAAGGTAGAAGACAGAGGGTGGTGGTGAAGAGTTGCTTTTCAGACTGGAGGCCTGTGACCAGTGGTGTGCCATAAGGATCAATGCTGGGTCCACTGCTTTTTGTCATTTATATAAATGATTTGGATCTGAACATAGGAGGTATGGTTAGTAAGTCTGCACCAAAATTGGAGGTATAGTGGACAGTCAATCAATCAGTTTACATCAGAGTAAAATGGGATCTTGATCAGATGAGCCAAGGAGTGGCAGTTGGTGTTTAATTTAGATAAATGTGAGGTGCTGCATTTTGGAAAGGCAAATCAGGGCAGGACTTATACACTTAATGGTAAGATCCTGGGGAGTCTTACTGAACAAAGAGACCTTGGAGTGCAGGTTCGTGGCTCCTTGAAAGCGGAGTACCAAGTAGACAGGATAGTGAGGAACGCATTTGATATGCTTGCCTTTATCAGTCAGTGCATTGAGTATAGGAGTTTGGAGGTCATGTTGCAGCTGTACAGGTCATTGGTTAGGCCACTTTTGGAATACTGTGTGCAATTCTGGTCTCCCTGCTATAGGAAGGATGTTGCAAAACTTGAAAGGCTTCACAGAAGATTTACAAGATTGTTGCCAGGCTTGGAGGGTTTGAGCCATAGGGAGAGGCTGAATAGGCTGGGGCTGTTTTCCCTGGGTCGAAGGCTGAGGGGTAACCTGATAGAGGTGTGTAAAATCAAGATGGGCATGGATAGGGTAAATAGACAAGGTCTTTTCCCTGGGGTGGGCAAGTCCAAAACTAGAGGGCATAGGTTTAAGGTGAGAGGGGAAAGATTTTAAAGGGACTTAAGGGGCAACTTTTTCACACAGAGGGTGGTGCGTGTACGGAATGAGTTGCCAGAAGCAGCAGTGGAGGCTGGTACAATTACAACATTTAAAAGGCATCTGGATGGGTATATGAATAGGAGGGATTTAGAGGGATATGGGCCAAGTGCTGGCAAATGGGATTAGATTTATCTAGGATATCTGATTGGCATGGAGGAGTTGGACCAAAGGGTCTATTTCCATGCTGTACATCTCTATGACTCTATGCTCAATCCTTCCTGAGTCCAACATTCAAGGCCCTGTATCTGAATTGGACTCAAAGTTTTACAGTAGATTTGTAGCTCGGGTTGTGGATGTTGTGGTTGGTTGGCTCGCCGAGCTGGTTTGTTGTTCCGTAGACGTTTCATTACCCTGCTGGGTAACATCATCAGTGCAGCCTCTGATGGAGCGCCGTGTGTTTTCCCACCCGTCATTTAAACTCTGGAGTCCATCGAGTTGGATTACCTCACTTCCGGTTTTCCTTCGCAGTGGAGTACCAGGATTGGGTCAAGCTCCATGTGTTTGTTGATGGCTTTCTTCGTGGAGTACCAGGCCTCTAGGAATTCCCATGCCTGTCTCTGCTTTGCTTGTCCCAGGAGCTTGGTGTTGTCCCAGTCGAATTGGTGGTTCTCCTTATCCATGTGGATAGAGATGAGTGAGTATTGGTCTTGTCTTTTTGTAGTCAATTGATGTTCGTGTACCCTTGTTGTTAATTTCCTTCCTGTTTGACCAATGTAGTGTTTGTCACAGTCTCTGCAGGGAATCTTGTATATGACCCTGGTCCTGTCCATTGTGGGTAGTGGGTCTTTGGTTCATGTGAGCAGTTCTCGTAGGGTTGATGTGGATTTGTGTGTTACTCTGATGCCCAGCAGTCGTAGGAGTCTTGTGGTCAGTTCAGATGTGCTCCTGATGTAAGGTAGTGATGAGTGTGTCGGGGCATGTAGTATCTTCCCGTCGTCATGCGTGTGATAGGCATCTTCTGACACAGTTTCTTGGGTATCCATCGTCCTTGAATACCTGGAAGAGGTACTCTTCTCCTTTTTGGCGTAGCTCTGTGCTGCAGTGTGTTGTTGCCCGTTTAAATAATGTTCTCACGCAACTTCGTTTGCGTGTGTTAGGGTAGTTGCTGTTGAAATTCAGTACTTGGTCAGTGTGTGTGGCTTTCCTGTGTACCTTTGTTAGGAATTTCCCATTGGTCCTGCGCTCTACCATGACATCCAGGAATGGGAGCTGTTTGTTCTTCTCCTCTTCTCTGGTGTGTACACAATTTGTACACAACAGTGCTTCATCGGAGGCTGCACTGATGATGTTACCCAGCAGGGTAATGAAACGTCTGCAGAACAACGAACCAGCTCAGCGAGCCAACCAACCACTGAATTGGCCAACTAACACAGCCCTGTGAATACTATCTCTCCTTGTCTAATAACAGATAGCAGGACATACAGTCTATCGAAACTCCATCTCCATGTGTGTGTGTGCATGTTTAAAGAAACAACACAATCCATCCAAAGCATTTTTTAAAATTATTACCACCATTGTTCTCTACAGCAGAATGAATGTTCAAAACAAAATAGCTATGTACATCAGGTCAGTTAGTAACGGAAAATTGAAATAATATTAACTTACATTGGTAAACCAGCTTCAAAGTATAAAAAGAAAGCACATACATTTCTATACCATCTTTCATGATCCCAAGGTATCCCAAAGTGCCTTAGAGTCAGTGAACTACCTTTTGTAGTGTGGTCACTGTTGTAATGTAGAAGATATAGTAGCCAATTTGTACACAGCAAGTTCCCACAATCCATTGTGCTAATGAGCAAGTAGTCTGTTTAAATTGGGTAGTTGAAGGATAAATATTACAAAGTACATGGTGGAGAACTCTTACGCTCTTCTTCAAAAGTAATGCTATGGGTTCTTCTACATCCAGGGCAGATAGAATCTCCATTCAACATCTCAGCTGCAGAATTGCACTTTTCACAATGCAGCTTACTACTACACCATCAGAACGGATCTCTTGCTCATGTCTCTTCAGTTGATCTTGAAACCACAATCTTGTGTCTCCAAGATGGGAGTGTTACCCACAGTGCTACAGCTGACAGGGATAAAGTACAAACTGCACACTAATCTAATATCAAATGGTACTGACATGGGGAGTATTCTCATTACACGGACTGCTGCAATTCCAGAAGGAGGCTCACCACCACCTTCTCGGGGTAATTAGGGATGGGCAACAGATACTGGCCTTGCTAATGATACCCATGTCCTATTAATGAAGAAAGAAATCTACACTAATTCTCAAAATTCCTGGGGTAATATCCAGGAACTCCTTCTTCCAGTGATTGAATAATACAAAGAGAACTTTCTTTTAACCTGAGAATTACCTCAGCAAGCAAGAATAGAATCAGAAAAGTTGCGATTTAACTATACCAGGCGCTGATGCAACTGTTCCTACAAAGCGCACAGTCCCATATTCGTCCCGATACATGATTCTTCTACCCACAGCATCACAAGGCACACTGTCACTCTGTGTCATCTTTGAGATATTTCAGTCTCTGATGGCTCATCCAAATCTAAACAGAAATTGAAAACAAATATATCAGATTTTTCACCCCCACAATATATGACTGTGCAAAGCTGCTTCTGATAAAATTGGCAGGTTTCTGCACACTTAATCCTCTCTACTAACTTCTTCAACTCCCTTTAATGTAACTTAGGCTCAAAGAATCATCTTAAGGAGGACATTCCGTCCATAACACCTGTGTTGGCTTTTTGAAAGAGTTATCCAAAGAGGAACATGGAAATAGGAGTAGTCCATTTAGTCCCTCATGCCTATTCCACCACTCATTGAGATCATAGCTGAATTGTGACCCAACTGCAGATATCCATCTTAATCCCTTTTCCCCTAATACAAGAAGGTCATTCTGAGATTTAAAACTAACTGAGCTGCCAAAAATTGTTTTATAGGAGGGAATTTCAAACATTTACAACGTATAAGTGTTTCATAATTTCACTCTGAAAGGTCTGGCTCTAACTTGTAGACTATGTCCCTTGTCCTTGATGCCCCAGCCAGCAGAAACAATTTCTGTCCATCTATCCAACTTATTCCCCCTAAAACTTGAAAAAATGATTAAATCTTCCTTGAAGTTTCTAAATTTAAGAGAGCACAGGAAAGTAGGGACATTCAGCCTCTCACACCTTTTCTGCCATTCAATGAGATTGTCTGATCTTTAGCCTAACTCTATATACCTGCCTTTGGCCCATATCCCTTAAAATTTTTGCTTAACAAAAATGTATCTATCTCAAATTTTAAATTAACAACTGATGCAGCATCCACTGCCATTTGTGGAACAGTTCTAAACATCTTTGATTTGATTTGATTTGGTTTGATTTATTTGATTTGATTTATTATTGTCACATGTATCTAGGTACAATGAGAAGTTTTGTTTTGCGTGCAGTACAGGCAGATCATACCATACAAAGTGCATAGGGGTAATAGAACAGAGCAAGAAATGCAATGTCACAGCTGCAGAGAAGGTGCACAAAGAGAGAGATCAACATTAAATTTAAAATTTGAAAGGTCCATTCAGAAGTCTGATAACAGCGTGGAAGAAGCTGTTCTTGAATCTGTTGGTACCGTGTTTAAGCTTTTGCATCTTCTGCCCGACAGAAGAGTCGGAAGAGATTATAACTGGGCTGGGAGAGGTCTTTGATTATGCTGGCTACCTTCCCGAGGCAGCAGGAACTATAGATGGAATCAATGGATGGAAGGTTGGCTTGTTTGTCGGACTGTGCTGTGTTCACAACTCTCTGTAGTTTCTTATCATCCTGGGTAGAAACAGTTGCCATACTAGGCAGTGTTGCATCTGGATAGAATGCTTTCTATGGTGCATCTATCAAAATTGGTAAAAGTCTTTATGGACATGCCGCCTTTTGTGTGTAGAAATGCTTCCTAATATCTTTCCTGAATGGTCTAGCCCTAATTCTCAGACTATGCCCCCTAGTACTAGAATTCCCAACGAGTGGAAATAATTTATCTTGATCTATCCTGTCTTATCCTGCTAATATCTAGAAGACTTCAATCAGATCAACCCTTAGTTTTCTGAACTCTAAAGAAAACAATCTCTCCTCAAACTTAACCTCTGAAGTCCAGATATCATTCTTGTAAACCTATGTTGTACTCCCTCCAAGGCTAATATATCCTTCGTAAGAATACAACCGTAGTTTATGTAATTAGTCCTATTCCCTGATCTTTCCCTACAACACTGTGATTTACCTCCCACCTTGACCAATCAGAGTCATAGAGCTGTACTGCATGGAAACAGACCCTTCAGTTCAACTTGTCCATGCAGATCAGATATCCTAGATAAATCTAGTCCTATTTGCCAGCATTTGGCCTATATCCCTCAAAACCCAAAATGATGAAAAGCAATGGCCCCAGCACCAATCCTTGTGGCACACCACTGGTCACAGGCCTCCAGTCTAAAGAGCAACCCTCCACCACCACCCTCTGTCATCTATTTTCGAGCCAGTTCTGTATCAAAATGGCTAGTTCTCCCTGTATTCTGTGTGATCTAACCTTGCTAACCAGTCTACCATGAGGAACCTTGTCAAACACCTTCCAATAACCTTTTGAAAGTTCTATTGAATTTGCCTTCTTACCCTATCAGGCAGTGTATTTGAGATTTTAATAATACAATGCATCAGTAGGGTTGTCTTAATCTCCTTGCCAGCATTTTGCTAATTGTCTTAACTCCTTTGTTTTCTGATTACAGACTGTCCCACAGGGAAACACTTTCTCCCTATCTACTACTCATAATTTGGGACATAAAATTTCTGCTTAATCTTCTCATAAAATCATTATAATACTGGGCTTATTAAGTTCATGCCTTCTAATGAGAACAACCCTCATTTCTCCAATTTCTTCTCTGCATCCACTCTAATACCTTGACATAGAGTCATACAGTCATCTTTCCTAAAGTGTGATGACCAGAACCGAAAACAGTACACCAGCTAGGACATTAACTAAAAAAGTTAAAGATAATATCAACTTTAAAGAGAAAAACATATAATTATGCAATTATGGGTGGCAGGTCAGAAAACTGTACAGATCAAAAACTACAAAGTTTCACTAAAACTTAATAAGGAGGGAAAATTAGAATATGAGAGAACGCTAACTAGAAACACATCTGTCATAGGAAATATGTTAGAAGCTTCTATTGAAGATGTTATAGCAGGGCACTTAGGTAAGTTCAAGGCAATTGTACAGACTCAACATGGGTTTGTGAAAGGGAAATCATATGTAAACAACTTACTGGAATTCTTTGAGAAAGGTGGGCTGTGAATAAAAGGGAACGAGTGGATGTACAAATGTGAAATGGTATTTGATAGGGTACTGGAAAAATTATTGTAGAAAATACAGAATATAGAGTAGACATAAATGGGGCATTTTATGTTAGTAAGAAGTAACAAATGGCGGGCCATTGTTCTGCTGAGGCCTCAACATTTTTCAATTTACACAAGCGATTACCAAATTTGCAGTTGCCACAGAGATAGGTAGGAAATTAAGTTGTGAAGAAATAAAGGAGGCTGCAAAGTGACTGAAATAGATTAAATGAGTAGGCATAGAATTGGTAAATGGAGTAAAATGTAGGAAAATACAAAATTGTCCATCTTGACAATAAAAAAGTTTATTATCAAATTGGTAAAACATTGCACACCTCTGAAATGCAGAGCAATCCGGTTGTTCTAGTGCATGACTGGGAAAAAGATATGCAGATACAGCACCTAATTAGGAGAATTAATACAAAGCTTTTGTTTATTACAAAATAAATTGAGTACAAAATTAGGGAACTTATGCTTCAGTTGTACAGGACATCGCTGAAATTAAATTTTGTTTTTATGCGTTTGTGGGATGTGGGCGTCACCATTTATTGCAGTCCCTAGCTGCCCTTGTGATAGTGAGCTCCCTTCTTGAACTGCTGTAGTCTTTGCGCTGTAGGTAGACCCAGAATGCCATTAAGGATGAAATTGCGAGAGTTTGACCCACCGACAATGAAGGAATTTGGAGCACTCTGTAGGGTACAGGTTACCTTATTTAAGGAAGGACGTAAAAGCATTAGGAACAGTTCACAGAAGGGTTACTAGACTAATACCTGGAACAAGCAAATTATCTTATGAGGAAAGGTTGGACAAGCTAGGTTTATATCTGTGGAGTTTAGAAGATTAAGAAGTGACTTGATTGAGACATACAAGATGCTGAGGCGTCTTGACGGTAGATGTGGAGAGAATGTTACATCTTATGACAGAATCGAGAACTAGGAGGTCTCTATTTCAAAACACAGGGTCACCCATTTAAGATAGAGAAGCGGAGAATTTTTTTTCTCAGAGGGTCGTGAGTCTTTGGAACTCTTCTTCAAAAGGCAATGGAATCAGAATGTTTTAATGGAGGCAGATAATTCTTAGTAGGCTAATGGGTGAAAGGCTTCGAGGGCAGACAGGGGTGTGGAATAATTAGATCAGCTGTCGCAGAGCCAACACAAATAGCTAAATGCTCCTACTTAGTACATTCATCCATAATCATTTTTTGAGAGGGGTGAGGGCTTGAGGTACAGTAGTGGGTCCCTACTTTGGGGCCAAGAGACCCAGGTTCATGTCCCACCTGCTCCAGAGGTGTGAAATAACATATTTGAACAGGTTGATTAGAAAATGTCTATAATCATATTGGGCTACTGGGAACATAGGAATTGCTAGATAAAGAGGTTAATGATTACCCGCTTTTGCATTTTCACCCTGATGGTCACATGATAAATTAATAATATCATTCAGTTTGTAACAGTGTCCAAATATGAAGTGAGGGAAACCCAATGAAGGGAAGCTTAGGGAATAAGAGGTTCAACATCACTTGTTTCTCCCAAACACGAACCATATCTCAAGTCTCAAATGAGTCATATAGTGAATCCCAAAATGTTATTTCCTGAAAAGAAGTCTGTTGGATGTGCACGTGATCAAATCAATACCAACTTTTTCATCATCTGCCTAGAGCAGTCTGTTCCCCAGATTGAACATTTACTGACTGAATTTACCTCACATTTACCCCATTCAAATTCAGACCATATTTTCTGATTTTGTTGTTCCAGACAAGGTGAAATTACCTTGCTATGGTCAACATTATCTAGTTACTTTAGAATCCCAAAAAAAAAATTGCATTTATATAGCACCTTCAATGCAGTAAAGCATCCCAAAGTGGTTCACAGAAGCACAAATGGTCAAAATCGGATGCCATGCCCCATAAGGAGGTATTACTAAAGGTAATAACCAAAAGTCAAAGAGGGCTGTTTTAACAAAAAGAGTGAGGCACAATGTAAGACAGGGTCATTTTACACCCAGTCATCTGACAACAGGCACCTTGGTGAGATGAAGAATGTCAGAGATCAGGAATAGGCCAGAACTGGAGAGATGCAGAGCTCAGAAGATTGTAGGAGGTTCCAGAACAGGGTTTTAAATGATAAAATTTTACTTTTCCTCTAATAATCAGTTACAATTTGTACAATACTGAAAACAACGATTAGTC